AGCCACTTACATTTGGATTTTACATTTGTCAGAGATAGCAGGAATAAGCAGCCACCGGAGCAGTCAGGTCTCTCCTGCTCAGGGGGACGAGTCAGCGTGCCCAGCCAGGATCAGCCCAGCTCAGCAAGAGCAGGAAGGGAAGAGTCTGCAATGTTGCTGTGGTGAAAATCGTTACCCTTGAAACACTGTCAGGCATTTTGAGAAGCATCAGAAACCCTCACAAACACATTCATAGGTACCTCTGAAAATTGCTAAGGTCAAGATGCTGGAAAATGGCAACATACCACCAAGGAAAAAGAGGAGAAGCCAGGAAATAACAGGCCAGTCTTCCCAGAAATATTCAAACATAATTTTTCAGCACAGCAAGATGAGTAGCAGTGTATTTCCTGAACGGAAACCACAACAAACTGATCTAACTGGTCATGGTACAGTCTGACAGATCATTCCCTTCCTTAAACTAGAGAAATACTCTCTATGTAAAATTATAACCACAGACTTCTGTAAATTAAAATAATAATCATCATACAAGACAGTATTTATCAATTGCCCTGTGTTAGTTTGGAAGGATGTGTCAGGTGGGATCACCTATGTCCTAATGAAAATACTGAGTATTGCTGGATTTCAGAGCTCTGAGAGACAGAATGGACCTGTTAAAAATCAGGAAGTTACATTAAACTAGGAGAGGCAGGAGTATGTAGGAGAGCAGTACTGGAATTTGAAGAGACAGAGAAACAGCCTGGAAAGAACAAGACGCAATTCAGTGAACACAAACACAATCCCTGCACTTGAGAAACGTAGGCTTGAATTCACAAACACATGACAGAGTGACCTGTTAGACTGCAGAAGAATGTCTGAGAATTAGACTGAAAAATATGGGCTAACTGTGAGCCAATAATGTCATACTACTAGGAAAAAAGAAGAAAACCCAGCAACAACAGCCTGGGAATATAAACAGCACTATTATTCTTGAAACATTCAAAATAGCTCTTCACTCACTACTGCACTGTTAGGAAACCAAGTCCAGGCTGAGGCTCTACAAGTCAAGGAGGCTGACAAACCTGACTGCCTAGAGAAAAAGAACAAGAAAGTTAAAAGGCCTGGTTATTATTTTTCTTGTTTTTGCATGACAGAGAATAGAAGCTGTTCTCCATTGCCATATAGAAATGAGATAGGAGAATTGAGGGAAAATGGAGAACTTGTGTTTTGTAAATTGTAGAGAAAGAAAGATTCCACGTTACCGGGAATGGAAAGGACAAGTTTCAGTCCTCTCCTTCTAGTGGAGCTTTCCATGTCTTCTCTTTATCATTGTCTGACAGTGTCCGACACTGCTTCATGGTCTGGGAATTGGCAGTTGTACTTTTGTCACTTAATACCAGCAGCTTTCCAAACCCTAGATGTTCTGCCAATACCCCCTGGGAAAAGAGGGTTCTCTTAGCCCAGACCACATTAGTGACACTGAGAACTATGTGATTTCTAACACCATACTGTTGTCACAGCAAAAAGCTTTCAGTGAAAATACTCATCACCAAAATTACAT